CAAAAACTAGCCTGACCACCAAGGACCACCCCAAGCCACAGTAGGGAGGCTTGGAGAACGGACCATGGGGAAGTATACTGCTATAAAAAAAAGCCCATTTAGGGCTTCCCTGGTGGCGCAGTGGTTGAGAGTCCGCCTGCCGATGCAGGGGACACGGGTTCGTGCCCCGGTCCGGGAGGATCCCACATGCCGCGGAGCGGCTGGGCCCGTGAGCCATGGCCGCTGAGCCTGCGCGTCCGGAGCCTGTGTTCCGCAACGGGAGAGGCCGCAACAGCGAGAAAAAAGACCATTTGTCCCCCTCTCCTCCCCAAGTGGTAGATTAAAGATAGCAGCAAACTGTTTGCTGCCCCTCACCTTAAGAGATTGTGGTGATTATTTTTTTTGTGTGTCAACTAGGCTAGACTATAGTACCCAGTTATTTAGTTAAACACTTACCTAGGTGTTGCTGAGAAAGTGTTTTGTAGATATAGTTAACATCTACAGTCAGTTGATTTTAAGTAAAGGAGTAAATTATACTCCTTTACTTAAATGTAAATTGGCCTAATGCAATCAGTTTGAAGGCCTTAGGAGCAAAAATTGAGGTCTCCCAGAGAAGAAATTCTGCCTCAAGACTGCAGCATGAACTCCTGCCTGAGTTTCAAGCTGTCCTACAGGTTTCAGACTTGACAGCCCTCCCAGAATTGCATGAGCCAATCCTTAAAATAAATATCTGTATTATATATCTTAAGATAAATATATAAATCTCAAGACATAAATTTACAGATAAGATTTATATCATATAGAAATCTTAAGATAAATATATATGTATAAACAGAGGATAGATGATAGATGTAAATAGATATAGATAGATAGATAGATAGGTAGATAGATAGATAGATAGATAGATGATAGATAGATGCTGTTCATTCTGTTTCTCTGAAGAAGCCAGACTGATACAGCGGTAAAGTCTAATTCCCCTCTCCTTGAACCTGAGCTGTCCTCAGTGACTTTGGGGACTTGGGAGTCTAGATCATAAGAAGCCTTGCAGCTTCCTTGAAGTCCTCTTGGAATACACCCTCTTGGACCCAGCTACCATGTTAAGAGGAAACCCAAGCCACCCCACTGGAGAGGCCCTACGCTGAGAGGAACTGAGGCCCCCAGCCAATAGCCATTACCAAATTGCCATCTTGGAAGTGGATCTTCAGCTGCTCCAGTGGAGCCCTATCCAAATTATAAGTTTGTAAGCAAACTAAAGTTTGTCATCTTAAACTACTAAACTTTCTGGGAGTTCATTATACAATAAAAGTTCACAAACAGATATATTTCCCAATATATTTGGAGTCCTCAAAAAATATTTATGTGTGCATAATGTTTGTACATACATCGAAAATGCTCATATACACAATTTTTTAAAACTAAAAAAACATCACACCAAACTGCTGGGCTGGGGGTTGGGGAGCAGAAGCTGAGTGGAAATTTTTCCCAGGTAATATTTGGAGAGAGAGAGAGAGGAGATAAATAATAAAGTGCTTACAACAGCATTCCCTGACACAAGGTCAGCACCAAGCCTGGTGCTTGCCATTATTTCTCTTATTTTATGACAGAATGAGGACATGGGCACCAGGCATGAGCTTTGGGTCCCTCTGGTGCACACATCAGGGACCTTACTGGCTGTTTACAAGCCCCACCCCATTCATTCCCACAGCCCTTAGCAAGGAGAAGGCTCCCAGGAGGGGAGAAAGCACCGGGTTTGAGGTCAGAAAGCCCAGTCAAAGCCCACCTTTGCCCACTCTCCAGCTGTGTGACCTTGGGCAAGCAACTAGCCCTCTCTGAGCCTCATCTCCTTCTTGGTAAAAAGGGCATAAGACTAGGCCTATAGGAATTAGAGAAGTGAACCCATGTATGTGTCTTAGTTTGGGTTCCTTGGAAGTAAACTCTGATGCAAAGATTTGAGTGATAATACTTTATTTGGAGGTGTCCCTGAGAAAAGAAATTAACTGTAAATTGTTTCCTTGGGAGGTGATTCCAGGAAATGCTAGTAAGATAGTGGGGAAATGAGACAGAAAAGGGAAGGCAGCAGGTAAAGGGTGTTTTATCAAGGAAGTTCCCACTGTGGGCACCTGGGGCTCAGTCCCTCTGGGAGATAGCAGAGAACATGCACCCACCAGTCCTCCATCAGGGCTGCTTCCAAGGGCATTATTTCTCCAGAATGTCCTGCCTGCTGCAAGCAGAAGGGAGGGAGGTTTGGACAGCAGCTCCTGCGATGAACACAGCCTGATGTGGACAGTGACAGTCATTTGGTGAGTGAGATTCTCCTCTCCTCTCTTCCCAACACACCCATCCACACACAGCCACACACACATGCACACACCGACGCATGCACACACAATCTCACACACAGCACACATATACTCACACAATCACGCACATTTTGACTCTTACACACATACACACACTCACATACTTGCACACACATGCATGCTCACATATTCACCCAAATGCACCCCAACATACCAAGTCACACAAGACTGAGCGTGCACACACGCTCACACACACACGCCGAACTAGTGGAGACCAGATGCCTTAGAGCCTGTTGTTCCCGGGCCCTCCTCCCCTCCTCCCTGTCTCTTTCATTCACCATCACAGCCTTTAGCGGAAAGTCAATCTACATTACAAGCATGATGATCCTGTAAAATCCACATGACAGGGGAGAACGGAGGTGCAGAGAGGAGCAGTCACGTGCCGAGCCCACGGCTAATAAGGTGCAGAGCCGGGGTTTGAACCCACATGTGTCGCCTCCCAAGGCAGAGTTATTTTTGATGGTGTCTGACGGAGTTGCAAGGGAAGGCGGGGTGGGGAGAGGCCGGTACAATGTTTAGGGAATGACGCGCGCTTGGAGACCCTGAGTCCGGACGAAGATGTGGAAGAGGCAGCATCGGCAAGAGCCGGGTGACTCCTGTAAGGCCAGGGATCGCACGTTTCCCACTCAGTCCGCGAGCAGCTTCGGACGGGGATTCCGGCCGACGATCCCACCACGCGCCACCTGGGGGCGCCCCAGGATCAGCATCCTAGGTTTGTCTTCTCTCCTCCACGCCCCCCCAACCCTACCCCATCCCTGCGGACACCCTCTTCTGGGCAAAGAGGGGCTAGGGACCCAGCCAGGACGAGGAGCCCGAGAGATGGGGTAGGAAAGAACTCAGGGCCCCCTCTGAGGTCCCAAGGATATCGCTGTAGGACCTTAGGTGAGTCATTTCACTGTGGGGAACTCAGTTTCCCCCTCTGCTAAATGAGATAGTGACAGTACCCATTTCATGATAAGAGTTCCCTTGAGAATTAAATGAGAATATCTGGGAAGGGCACACAGGAAGCATTCAATCGATTCATATCTCATTATTAACTCTGGAGACCCCTGGGGCTTGGTCCTTAAACCCCTCCTCTGAATACACACACACACACACACACACACACACACACACACACACCAGATGATCTCACCCAGTCTTGAGGCTTTTAAAACAACATGTAAACACTGAGCCTCCCCAGATGTACATCACCAGCCCTGAACTCTCTCCCAAGTTCAGGACCCATCTATCCAACCGCCAGCCTGACATCTCCAGCTCCTCCTGGCTCAAACTAACAGGCTGATCTCACCCCCACCTCACTCCCCCCACCCACCAAAAAAAAAAAAAAACACCACTTACTCCATTTGGGATTCTCCATCTCAATTGATAGTGTTTCCATCTTTCCAGGTGCTCAGACCCAAACATGGGGTCCTCCCATCCTCCCAAACCCCACATTCCAACCATCTGCAGGCCTGCCAGCACTACCTTCATGAAACAATCATTTCTCATCATAATCCAACCGCCCCTTTGCACCTCTACAGCTCCCAGCTTGGGTAGAGCCACCATCATGTCACATCACCCCCCCACCAATCTGATCTCCCTCATCCCATCCTTGCCACAGTCTCTATTCAATGTAGCAACCCAAGACTGTAAGGCAAATCTTGTCCCTCCTTTGCTCAGAACCCTCCATGGCTCCCCACTTCTGTCACAATAAAACTCAAAATCCTTTCAATGACCTCCAAGCCTGTGTGAACTTATTTATTTGCTTATTTATCATTTGTCATCTGTTTCCCCCTCTAGAATGTCAATGATGCAAGGATTCAAACACTGCCTGGCTCACAGCAGATGCTCAAAAAATATTTGATGAATTAATATGATTATTATATGAGTATTGTCATTGGCCCACCTTCTATAGCACCATATCAGGCACTACTCCTCCAGCCAAAGACTTGGCAATCACCCTTACCTCCTCCCTCCCCTCAGCCCTCACAGCTAGATAGTCACCCATCCTCTCCCCCCAAACTCAGCCTCTCTCTTCCCTGAGTTTCCAGCCCCCTGTACACCCTTTCCCAGCCATCTCCCTGACAGCCCAGATCTGACCATAACCTCTCCTGCCCCTGCTCACACACACTCTATAGCTCCCTATTACCCTCTGCATAAAGCCTGAACTGTGATGCGGCCCACAGTTCTTGTGCTGTTGGGCCCTGCGCACCATTTCCACTCTGCCCCCACTCCCCAGATCCAGCCACCCTGGCCCCTTGTGAGTTCCACAAGCATACCACACTCTCTCCCACCTCAGGACATTTGCAGATGCTGTTCCTGCTGCCTGGAATGCTCTTTTCTCTCTAGTCACCACTCAACTTTTACTCCAACTTCAGCATCAGAGTAGTTTTCCTTGAGCCACCCTCCACCCCCAGTATGCTTGTGCAGCACCAAGGCCTCTCTTGTCACAGGTCGCAAATAATTTTACCCGTGGAATTATTTGTCCAACGTATGCCCCCCCCATCCTCCTGAGGGCAGGAATTTGCCTGGTGGTGTGCTCCTGGCCCAGTGCCAGCAGACACTTACTATGCAGTATGTTGAAATAAATGAATGCACAAACTGTCCCCAAAAGTCTGAGTTTATGTCCGAAGACAAATGGCTTCCCAGTCTCCTAGCCCACAGCTTCCCAACTGTCCAGGACCCCTCATTTCCTTGTCGGAATCCAGGTGTAAGGATCTGACCTGGCTAGGGGATGGATGATGGGGGATGTCTGCATCCCTTGCTTTTATTCTGCAAAAATCAGGACACTCAGCAAAGGGCCTTTGAGCAAGGGAGGAAGGAAGGAGCTTGAAAGGGAGAGTCTGGGTTTACAAATCAACGACAAACAGCGTGGGCCCTGGGATGCAACCTAATTCCTAAGGAGTTCATCCACATGAGCTGGGGGCCTCAAGAAGGTGATGTTCCGTTCAAGGTTCTGATCTCAGGCTCCAGTTCTCAAATCCTCAGTTTAAAAGCCAGCCGGGATCTGAAGTAGACTGGGCTTGTATCCCGGAGGCCTTAGGTGTCAGGTCTTAGGTCCTTGGAAGGCTCAATGGGCGGAGCCTGAAGACCTGAATCCGAAGGATGCTGGGGCGGGGCCTAAGCCCGAGGGGAGTGGCCAATCCTGGTCCTTCAAACAAGAGGGCAGAAACTGGCATTCAGGGGTCGGGACCTGGACCTCAGGGGGCGGGATCAGACCCTCCAGGGGCGGAGCCTTGCCTTAAGTGGGTGTGACCTGCGCCACAAGGCTGCTTAATGAGCCTGGACTTCGACGGGCGTGGTCTATGCCCTCAGGATCTTGAGGGCGGGGCCTGGGCCCTCGGGGGCGGAACCTGGGCCTCTCTGGGCGGGGCTTGGGCCCCCGGGGATCCTCAGGGGCGCGCCGACCCCGCAGGCCCGCGGAGGCAGCGGCTCCACCTTGAGCCAGATGCCATCCTCCGTGCGCAGAATGAGCTCGGGCTTCCGCCGCACCTTGCGCGTTCGGTCCACGCTCAGGCGGAAGCGCAGCAGCGTCAGCGCCACGGCCACGCGCATCTCAGCCATGGCGAAGCTCTGTCCGATGCAGTTCCTGAAGGACGGGGAACAGGGAGCTCAGGCCCAGCCTCTGTGTGTGCGGGGTCCCTGGGATGTGGTAAATGACCTCCCCCTCTGAACCCCAACTTCCAGACAAAGGCATCATAGAGCCATTAGGAGCATGTGAGCCCAGAACTCAGGGCCTGGCATACAGTAGATAGTTGGTACCCATGGATGATATAGCAGAATCTGATTTGGGGGCTTCCTGGTGTATTGAGGGCACGAAAAGGGTACCGGATTGGCGGGGACACCCGAGTGGACGTGGTTTCTGCTCCTGATGGGTGCATCCCTGATCTTCCACTGACCTCGATGTTCCTCCTACGCTTCACCTGGACTGGGGAAAACAGAAGTTACCTGGGTCCTGCAGAGAAGGGCATGTAAGCCAGCGGGGAGCGCTGCTGTGGGTTGTCCGGGTCAAAGCGATAGGGGTTGTACACCTAGGCAAGAGCAGACTGGGGGTGAGCCTGAGGGCTGGTTCAGCCATCCCAACCTGGTTCCCGCCCTCAGCCTCTGGGTACCAGGCCAGCAGGACAGAGAGAACCTCATTACAATCCAGCCACACCTGTCTCCTTCCCATTCCCACCACAGGGCCTTTGCACTTGCTGTTTCCTTCATGTGGAACACACTTTTCCCTGCTCCTCACTCTTCAGTGTGAATGTTTTCAGTTTCAGCTCAAACATCTCTTCTTTGGTAAGGCCTTTCCTCACCGTGTGAGCTAAAGTTCTCTCCCCCACCCCCCGACCCACTCCAGTTTTGTTTCCTTTGCGCATTTATCAATATCCAAAATGATCTTGTTTATCAGCTTATTTTATTCCTCTGCACTTCACTGTGAGCTCCGTGAGAGCAAAGACAGTATCTTCCTCTGTCCTCAGTGCCCAGCACTGGGTCTGACACATGGTAGATGCTCAATAAAGATTTGCTGATGTAATGAATTAAGAGTGAATGGGTGAATAGATGGGAGGAGGACTCAAGCCCTACACCCAGCCCTGCCATCCGGCTCCCTGGGGAGGAGGGGAGGGGAGGGGAGGCCTTGCTGACCAAGGACTGCCCCTTCTGAGAAGAAAGAAGCTGAGAGAAGAGAGGGTTGGGGCAGGAGCTCACCTTGGAGTCAGGCCACACTGTAGGGTTATGGTGGGTCCCATAGATGCTGACTAAGCAAATGATTCCTGTGGGGAGGGGTGGGGTCATTGGGTCAGTGGAACCGAGGGAAACCAGGACCTCCTCTGGAGACCTACGCCTCCCTGGCTCTCCCTGAAGCCATGCTATTCCCACAAGCCATCTGCCACCCTTTCCTGCCCATCCTTTCCTAAAAAATTCTGCTGCCCCATCCACTGCCCCTGCTTCTCCATAAGAGGTTCCCGTCACCATCTTTCTAGCTGCCATCCTGGCCACACAGGGATCTTTCTCACTCATATATCTGACATTGCTCCTCCTCAGCTCAAATACTTCCCATGGCTCCCTACTGCCCTGAGGTTCAAGTTCAAGTGCCTCAACCTGGCATTCAAGGCCTTTCACTGTCTGCACCCTGAGGCTCTGCTCCATAAACATGCTCTCATTTCCAACCCGCAAGCCTCACCTCTCACGTTACCTCTTCCAGGCAGCCCTCCCTGCATTCCATCCCAGATACACCCATCTCCCTGCATTCCACCCCCAGATACAGCCATCGCTCCTTATTTGGGGCTGCTCCAGCCTCTGTCCCTCCCTTTAGCCCATTCCTCACCCCATGTGTCTGGGAATGTCTGTGCCCTGATGTATCTTCCCCAGTCTGGGTGGTACTCAAAGCTTGGGCCTGGGGATGAGGCTTCTCTAGATGCCCAGCATCACCCAGGACAGGACCTGGTCTCCAGGGAATATCTGGCAACGGAATGAAATCAACCCTTCCCTACCTGCACCCTCACAGGACCCACCCTGCCACACACACTCCTTCCTTTCTGCTTGGACTCACCAACCTCTATCTCCCCAGCACACACACACAGCTGAGTCTCCCCCATCACCCCAGAAGCAACAGGCTATAAACTGCCTACAGGGACGGTGCACCTGGGGCAGGCATGGCCAGGACCCCATGGGCAATAGAGCAGGCAGGCAGCAGGGAGCACGTAGAGGGCACCTTTGGGGATGATGCGCCCATCTGGGAGCTTAATATCCTCCGTGCAGCGGCGGGAGATCAGGGTCACAGGTGGGAACTGGCGGAGGCTCTCCTTGATGCACAGAGTGGTGAAGGACAGCTGGGTTAGGTCATCCCTGGGGAATGTGGAACAGTGGGTAACTAGGGTCCAGGCCATGGTGCCACTCCCTTCCCCAGACACATATACACACACATGTGCACAGGCAATTAGGAGCAGCTGCAGGAAACCAGTCCAGGATCTCAGACTTGCCCCAACTTCAGGCATTTGCAGTTGTGCCCTGCACACACCTCTAACCCTCAGCAAGTAAAATATCTGACCCCTGACCAATCAGAGCAGCACTAGCCGGACGTCTGTGAGCCCAGCATTAACCCTTTAACTGATGAATTATGTGGAGGTCAGGGGGCATCCCTGGGGAGGTGCCAGGACAGCCAGGGGGACCTGGGGTAGCAGCAATTTACCAGCCTGTATAGATCAATTTCAGTATTTATAAACCCATACATCCTCTTCTTACTGTACATTAGCTTTTTTTCCTTTGGAATTCAGGGCAAAAAAAGCTGGATTAATTATAACCCTTGGTTAATGATCTAGATTGTTTTCTTTACACTAACTGGTTATCTTTCATAGAAACTCTCTGTTGCTACCATAAAGGGCAAATGGCATGCCTGGCATAAAGGTATCCATAAATATAAACACCACTGGGAGAACAGAAGACAGTTGTTAAATTCTGGCTAGATACCACCTCCTGCCCAATTCTCAGAACCTGAGGTATCTTCTCCCTTTGTTAAAAAGGCAGATTAGCAAGGATTAGCAAGGTGTTAAAGACACAATGGCACCAACTGAAAGTGTCTCCCTGAGGTCATAATCCAAATGGCTGACAATGAACCAAAAGGAACTTTCTCGCTGTTCAATGCTGTGTTTTCTTTGCATCGCCCAAAATCAGCTCCACATAGCACACATCTGAAGTAAATCGGATTATTATTCCTGATTCTTACACTTCCCCCCACATTGGAATTTTACACTATGCCCTTTGCCGTGTGATTCTGAGTATCTTCTGCTTGGATGGCTGGAGCATATGTCCCACCCCATTCATGGTGGGATTGGCCAGATGACTTGCTTTTTTTTTTTTTTTTTTTTTTGCGGTACGCGGGCCTCTCACGGTTGTGGCCTCTCCCGTTGCGGAGCACAGGCTCCGGACGCGCAGGCTCAGCGGCCATGGCTCACGGGCCCAGCCGCTCCACGGCATGTGGGATCCTCCCGGACCGGGCCACGAACCCGTGTCCCCTGCATCGGCAGGCGGACTCTCAACCACTGTGCCACCAGGGAAGCCCTAGATGACTTGCTTTAGCTAATGGAATGTTACAATGCAAGCAGAGGTTTTAAGTTGTGTGGTTCTTTGTGCTTCTGGAGTCTGTCTTGAGGATAACATGCCCAGCGTGGCTGCTCGTCCATGAAAAATGAGGAGACGTGGAAAAAACCTGAACCCAAACCTAAGCTAGGAAGCATCTCCACTCAACTCAGTGCAGCCCCGAGTAACAAGAGTAATATGCAGACAAGAGCAAGAAATATGTGCAGACAAGAGCAATAAATAAATGCTTGCTGCAAACCACTGAACTTAGGGGGCTGTTTGTTAGGCAGCATTATTGCAACCGTTGCTGACTAAGACACTCTTAACTCCTGCATTATGAGGTAGGCGTGACTTGTCATCCCCGATTTACAGTTGAAGAAGTTGAAATTCAAGAAGCTTAAGTGACTTGTCTGAGGTTAGACAGTCAGTAAGTGGTAGAGCACAGAGATTTATACTCAAGGCTTTGAACTCAACCTGCCCCCACCACCCCCATGACCCCAGACTAACCACTCCAGTTCCTCCAGCTCCCGACCTTTCATGACTTCCTGGATCTCTTCCCGGCACTTCTCCTGGTACTCTGGGTACTTGGCCAAGTTGAACAGCACCCACGAGAGCCCGCTGGATGTCGTGTCATGACCTGCAGGCAGATAAGGAGCTTAAATGGATGCTGCGCAAAGAGAGAGGAGATGCTGTATTCAGACAATGGGGCCCCTTCCCATCCTTCCCCAGCCACACCCCATGTCCTCACCTTCAAACATGAAGGTGTCTGCCTCAGCTCGGATGTCCTCATCTGACAGTTCCTTCCCATCTTCATCCTGGAATGGGCAGCAGACTCTGCTCATCTCACTTCATCCCACCCGCCACATCCTAGGAGTTCTTCCAAAGTCAAGACACCCCCTTCTTTATCTTAAGCCAAGCTGCAGGGGAAAGGATTCCAGGCAGATAGATGTATGCAACTTGTCTAAGAAAGATGGAAAGAGAGCCAAAGATGAGAGGAAGAAGGGACTTTGTATTTCTTCAGCAGCTCCTAGCGCCAAGCATCCTGCCAGATGCCTGACAACCATCTTGTGATCAGGTCTTACGATCATCATGCTGTAAATGAGGAAACTGAGGCTCAGAGGGAAGACTTAGATGACTAAGGTCAAACATCCACGAAGCAGCAGAGCTATTATCGAGCCAGAATCCAGGACTGTCTGAATCCAGAACCCAGGTGCTGCTCAGAAACTCCACAGAAGCACCACAAATAGGTGACCACCTATCTCTGCAAGTGTCACATTTCTTCAAGGTCTTGTATTGCATCTTTGTATTGTGAACTGAATTCTGTCCCTCCCCAGCCCCACCCCAGAACCCTTAAGTTGAAATCCTAACCCCCAGTACCTCAGAATGTGACCTAATTTGGAGATAAGCCTTTTGCAGACGTGATTAAGTTACAATGAGGTCATTAGGGTTGGCTCTAATCCAATATGACTGGTGTCCTTATAAGAAGAGGAGATGAAGACACAGACATGCACAGAGGGAAGACAATGTGAAAACACAGGTGAAGACAGCCAGCTACAAGCCAAGGAGAGAGGTCTCAGAAGAAACCAACACTGAGAAAATTTATTTCTGTCATTTAAGCCACCCAGTGTGTGGCGCTTTTTTACGGCAACGCTGACGAATGAATACAGTCTTACGTGTTTTGCATCTGCCTGCATTCTAAATCCATGTAAGTTTGGATGTTTATCATTTTGCACAATTGCTGCAACTCTTGAGGAGGCTGTCCTGGGCAGAGCTCCACCCTCCAGGGTCCAGCCTCACCCTGGCCAGGAGCAGCACATCTATGAAGTCCAAGGTCTTGCCCTGCTTGGCCTTAAGCCAGGCCTCAGCCCCCAGCTGGTGTAGCGCCCGCCGCCGCTCCTGGATGACCTCCGTGGTGAAGTGATGCACAGTGTCACAGGCCTGCCGGAAACGCCGTCCGTCTGCTGTACAGTAATAGATGAAGTCAATGTGGTGATGCAGGCGATACTGACGCCGGACCACCAGTGCGCTCAGCTCAATGATGGCCGAGATGTAATCACTCATCTTCCTGCCAGGGAGAAGAAAGGCCATGAGCAAAGCCCCGTACCCTAAGACAAGCTTCCTCTCCCAAAGGGCAGGTTACAAAGAGAGGCCCTGAATTAACTCTATTTTCTTATTTCCTTGTATACTTGATGCTCTGCCATCTGGCGCCTCACTGACTGGAGAGATACCACCCCTCCCAGGACTAGCCATTTCTTAGAGATAGCAAATGACTCACCCAGGAGCATGCCTTTCTTTTGCAAACCAGCCAATCCGGAGTCCATACTCCAAACATTATTGGGTTGAGCCACTATCCCCCTGCCTTAATCACCCCAGGGCCAGGCACTGGATAACTCGGGGGCACCCCTGTGCCCCAGAGCCTGCTGAAATTATTCAAACTAGCCAATCTTAAGCCTACATACCCTGCCTTTCCCATTGCTTCCCGTAGAACACCCCCAAAAATGTTTTGGCCATGCTTTCTTCTGGGGCTTCCTTCCCCATGTGGCCCTGTGTGGTGTGGCATGCCCCCTCATCTTGGGAGCAGTAAGTAACAAACTATCTTTTCAATGGCAATTTTTCTTGATCTGTTTCTAGGTACATTTTAAAACAGGCCCAAAGAGGGATGAGGACTTCTAAATAGATGTAGCATCACTAAACTTAAATGGCTACAATCCACAGAGTGGGAGAAAATATTTGCCAATCATATACCTGATGAGAAGCTTGTATCTAAACTATATAAAGCACTCTTAAAACTCAATAATAAAAGAGACAAATAACCCGATTTTAAAATGGGGAAAGAATATAATAGACATTTCTCCAAAGAAGACATACAACTGGGCAACAAGCATATGAAAAGATGCTTAACAGCATTGGCTATTAGGGAAATGCAAAAAAAAAACTACAATGAGATACCACTTTACCCCAACTGGATGGCTATAATCAAAAAGACAGATAATAGCAAGTGTTGATGAGGGTGTGGAGAAACTGGAGCCCTCACATACTGCTGGTAGGAATGTAAAATTGTGCAACCAACTTATGGAAAAAGTCTGGCAGTTCCAAGAAAGTTAAACATAGAATTATCATATAGCCCAGTAATTTTACTCTTAGGTATATACTCAAGAGAATTTAAAACATTCACACAAAACCTTGTACACAAATGTTTATAGCAGCATTGCTCATAATAGCCAAAAAATGGAAACAACCTTAATGTCTATGAACAGGTGACTGGATAAGCAAAACGTGGTATTATGTGGTGAATGGAATATTATTCAGCAATTTTTAAAACGAATTATTGATAATTCAACTACAGCATGGTTGAATCTGAAAACAATATGCTGACTGAAAGAAACCAGAAACAGAAGTCTGTGTAATTCCATCTATATGAAATTTCCATAAAAGACAAATCTATAGAGACAGAAGGAAGATTAGTTATTGCCTAGATCTGGAAGGGAAGTGGGAAGTGGGAGATGAGTGCTAAAATGTACAGGGTTTCTTTTGGGTGAAAATATTCTAAAATTGATTATGGTGATGGTTGCACAACCCTGTGAATATACTAGAAACCATTGGTTGTATACTTTAAATGGGTGAACGGTATGGTATGTCAATTACACCTCAGTAAAGTTCTCATTAAAAAAAAGAAAGAAAGAAAAACTAAATTGCAGGGGGCAGGATTGCAAAGAGCTGTCCTTAGTTCTGAAGCATGCTTGTTGTTTTCATGCACTAATCACCAACTGGCATTTTCTTGTTTATTTGTTCATGGTTACTGCCTGTCTTCCCACTAAAATGTAAGTTCCAGATGAGCAAGACCTTATCTGTTTTGCTGACCACTGTATTCTACTCTAGAGCTGGCACACAGTAGGCACTCGATAAATATTTCTTGGATCAATTAACGAATTAATTACTAAGGCCATCTCCACCTTACCCAACGGAAACAAGACCGCTAGAAGGCCCTGAGTAACAAAGTCAGCATCTTGTTATTGAGGACCTACTATGTGCTACAAACTTGACAGTCATTATGTCCCTTATTCCTTATATCCCCACTTAGACTGTAAGCTCCAAGGAATTGGGCTTAGTGCTTACCACCATATCCCCAGTGGCTAGCATAGTGCCAGGCACATAGTAGGTACACAACAAATATTTGATGAATGAATGAATGAACCAGAGCTATGGTTATTTCACTCATTCAACAAATATTCACTCGACATCCCTCATGTGCCAGGGCAGTGCTATATCATTTTATGCTTTAAACATCTCTCAGAAGGTCAGGGATTGTCATCCCTATTTCACAAAGAAACTGAGGCTCAGAAAGTGTGGGGAGGGTCTTTCCAAAGACCACGTACCTTCTGTGGAGGAATGAGTGAAACTAGCGTCTACCGAGCACCTACTGTATGCCATGCTATCGACTCACATTATCCCCTATAATTCTCATACGATGACTGTGGGGATGGGATGGAGATGTGCATTTGCGGGATGAGGAAACAGGCTCAGAGAGGTGATGTCAGTTTCCCGGAACCACACAGCCTGTCAGTGACAGAGCACCAGCCGCGCAGGAGTGCCTAACAGCTAAGAGTTTCCTTTTTCCTCTCGTCACCTCGCCCCTGGAGCAGCTGACCCTATGTTCCCCAGGGAGGCCACACTCACTCCTGGCAGTTGCTGTTGTAGCTGAAGACGCATTTCTGAAGACTGTCCAGGGTCATGAGGCTGACATGCTCAAACATGTCAAGGGAGACTTCTGAGCCTTCTGCCAAGCGCTGCCATTTAGCCTGGAAGAGAAAGACACGTGGCAAATGGGTACGGAGACCACAGACCTTCAGCCGGGCTGACAATGACCCAGCTGCAAGTTCACTACAAGACCACTTTATACATAAAGGAAGTGAGGCTTCCTGGCATCACATGGTTTGCCCATGAGCTGGAGCCTGGACCAGCCTCACTTCCAGGATACCCTCTTCCCAAGAAACCTTGGGACTCACATGCATGATATCGGTGCACTGGTTGAAGATCTTCATGTAGGGCTTCAGTATGTCAAAGTGGAAGGCAGGTGTCAGCAGGCGGCGGTGCCGGCTCCACTTGTCACCTTTGCTGAGCAACAGCCCATCTCCTGGACCCAGAAGACCAAGGTTAAGGACCTCACCAACAAACCCCACACCCTGCCCCCTCTTTCCTGAAGCCCCAGCTCCAGGCTACCCAGTGTCGAGCTCACCCAGCCAAGGTTTCAGAAAGCCATAGAAAAGGTCATCCTTGGGGGCAACGGCAGCTGTGGAGAGAGAAGAGGTGATGATGTCTCAAAACAGAGTTCTGACCCTTGACCTCTGCTTATGACCTCCTTGGGCCTCCACTTTGGGCTCTCACCTCCCACGTCACCCCTCCAGTCCAATCCTCCACACCTGCCCCAAAGAGAGCTTTATAACATGTTGATCTGAACGTGAGCCTTCCCTGCTCAAACACCTCCCATGGCTCCCTAAAATCTTTGTAAAAATGTTCAAGCTCAGGCTAGCACTGAGGGCCCTGCCCTACCTTGCTGCTATATGCCTCTCCCATCTCATCCTTCAGCATACACCAAATAACCCCACACGTTGTCCCTCACTTCCAAATCTTTGCCCAGGCTGTGCTTTCTCTCCAGTATGGCTTTCTTCACCTGATTCTTCTCCTAATCCACCCCCTCTTTTCTGCCAACTCAGGCCATCTGAATTACACCTCCTGTGCTCCCAGCCTCCAGCCTCGCCCTTTCCAGTCTGTCCTGTACCCTAGACCCAGGGGGATCTTACTTGACTCTAGATCTGACCATGTCCTTTTCTGCCCACACCCCCATCAGCCTCAAGCACAGCTGCTCAGCCCATTTACAAAGCCTTGAATGACGTATCCCAGTCCAGACCATTCTCAGAACACCTCTCTCCTCCACCACAGCCACCCCTTCCCGCACACACCCAACTTGCTAACATCATAGAACTTTTCTCAGGTCCTTGAAAAGCTGTGTTCCCTCTCTGTTCTGAGTCTTTCCATCAGGCGTCCTCTCTGCCTCCAACACTCTTTCCTCATTCTTCCAGTCTCTGCTTGGATGCCATTCCCTCTCCCACCAATCACTCTGGATTGTATCCATCCAGTTACAAGAGCTTTGAAGGGAGGGAACTTGTTGATCACTAACATATTGGTGCTAAATAAATTTTTATTGTATGAATGAATTAACCAATCAAAGGATGAATGAATGAGAACTATCAATGGGTAGTTGGGTGGGTGGTTGGATGGTTGGATGGATGGATGGATGAATGGATAGATGGTTGGATGATGGGTGGGTGGGTGGTTGGATGGATGAGTGAATGCATTCCCTTTCTATGTGCTGAATAGATCTGGGACAGAATGGGTAGGGCCCAGGAAGGAAGTACCTGAAGCTCAAGTAATGTCACTTTTACCTGAGATATGATTCAGCCACCTACACTCCCCAGGCATTGGCCGATTGTATGCACAATCATCTGTCCACTCGTTCTCCCATTCTACACACCTGTGCTGCCACCTTTCTGTGCCCAACCCATGCTGGGGCCCCAGAGATGGCTCAGCTCCACACCCTGCCTGGAGGAGCTCTGGGTGTAGTGGGAAAGGGAAGCAGAGACATGCCATGTAATTAGCAAGAAGGTAGAATGTGTGCCAGGAGCAGAGGGAGGCACAGAGAAAGGGTTACTAGAAGTCAAGGCAGACTTCCTGGAAGAGGCAGCTTTGAAGGAGGAGGTGGGAGTCTAGTCACTCCTCTCCTCTCTGGGCTCTGGACTCCACGCTAGGACCTTCAGAGGTCTTTCTGACACACAAACTTGTCCAATGGCTATCCTGCTCAAACACCTCCTATGGCTCCCTAACACCCCCAAGATAAAACACAAGCTCCTTCACTTTGTACCTAGGTGCTCTGAGTCCAGCTCCTGTCTCATTTCCTACTTCTCCCCACATGTCATCTTCACTCCAGACACCCCAAGTCACCTGAATTCCCCTGGCATTTTCACACATCTGCACTTTTGCACTTAGGACCCTCTACCTGGGACCTCTCATCAGGCAAACTCCTATGCATCCTTCAAAGCCCAGTTTCACTGATGCCTCCTCCAGGAAACCTTCTCCAAACCTTCTCTCCAGCCAAACCCTTGCTCTGTCATCCTCAGGTCCCTCCTCTAATCCAACCCTCAGCACTCAATGCCAGGAGAGCCTGTGTCCAGGCTGCCTCTCCCATCACTTTCCCCTCCAGTAACAAGGAGGTGGTAACATCTACCCTGAAGAAGGTCATATAAGAAAAGCCTCCACAAGTGCCCAGCAGGAAGCTGCATATTACTGTGATTGAGAGCTTGGCCTCTGGGCCGGCCAGGTCTGGGTTCAAATCCCAGCCCTAACTGGTTCTGTAAACTTGGGCAAGAAAATCGAACAATCCTGCCTACCTCATGGCAACCCTACAAAAAACTCAATGAACTAATGTGCTCCTGGCACACAGTAGGTGCTCATTAAATATTCATGCACATAAATGAATACCTAGCCAACTGTTGGCTATTTTTACTACTGTGACTATAATTATTGCTCAGTTGTGTCAAGAACTTGTGAGATGAATAGCTGGGTCCCCAGCTCACAGCAGGACCTTAATAGGGAAAAATGAATGCGCAGACACCATGGAAAACAGTTTGGTGGTTCCTTGAAAAGTTAGACATAGAGTTCCCACGTGACCCCACAATTCTACAACTAGGTACCTACCCAAGAGAAATGAAAATATATGTCCAAAACTTGTACACACATGTTCATAGCACCATTATTCATAACAGCCAAAAGGTAGAAACAACACAAATGTATGTCAGCAGATGAATGGATAAGCAAATATGGTATATCCATACATCCATACAATGAAATATTGCTCAGCCTTAAAAAAGAATGAAGTCCTGATCATTGTTATAATGAGGATGAACCTCAAAAACTATTCTGAGTGAAAGTCAGCTGCAAAGGACCACATTTTGTATAATTCCTTTCCTATGATATACCCAGAAAAGGAAAATCCATGGGGACAGAAAGTGTTTACCACTGGATGAAGAGAAGGGGGAATGGTAAGTGATAACTTAATGGCTATGGAGTGTTTTATGGGGTGATGAAAAGGTTTTGAAACTCGGGAGACGTGACGGTTGTACAACATTGTGAACACACTAAACACCTTACACTTTAAAATAAGTAATTATATGGTATGTGATTTCCGCTCAATTTTTAAAATGAGTATATGAAAACAAGCTACAATTCAATGCCTGTATATCCTGCCTTGTCTTCTATAAAGCATTCTCACCTACTTTCTCTGTATATCCCAAATGCCCCTTAAAAGATGAAGAAACAGAGGTTCTAAGAAGATCCATGCCTTTCTCAGGGCCCATCAGCTATGTGGGTTTAAGCCTAGAGGAGCAAACCCCCGTGATGTGGTCCCAAGGAGGCCCCAATAGGGGATGGAATTTACGACTTAGGACCAGGTCTGTCCAATCTCAGGCAGACAGGCATGGAGGGGCCCGGACACCTTGGGGCCAGGAGGCCTGATGCCAAGTTGCCTCTCCTGACTCACACAGCACCACCCTCTCCAAGCTGGAGTCTACCATCCAGCTCCTCCAGTGGGGGAGGCACTGGATATCCTGCCTGTCCTGAGAGAGGGCAGGGGAGAGGAGAAGAGGCCTGAGCATCTACTAAATTGCCAAGCTTATGATGGGGGCTTTACTCCCTGGTCTACTTGGAGTCTCATAACCATGCAGGGTGACACTCAGAAAACAGATGCTCTGAGCTGGTGGAGAGGGGAGGGAGGGGGAAAGAAAGAAAGAAAAAAGATATTAAAAAGGCAGAAGAGAGAAAACCTTTATCAGCACCAACCCACACTATATTACTGACTCTTCACAACCACCCTATTTTACAGATCAGAAACTGAAGCCCTGAGAAGCTAGATGAATTGCTGGGTCACACAGCAAGTACATGCTCCAGGCTGGATTCAAACCCAGCCCACCCAAGTCCTGGCCCAGGACTCTTTCCACAACTTGGTGCCCATCCCTTGGAAGATTCACCCTTCCCAGCGTCCAGGTTTCCCTCTTTGTTCATTGGGGATGGTCATTCCCTTACAAATGCAATAATGAGGGACACTGAGGGATGAGGAGGGCAGAGCTGGGAAAGGGAAGGATGGCAGCCCCTTCCTCCTCCATGGCTCAGGGGGCAGCCTTGAAGGTGGTCTCCATACGTATGTTTGCAGACACCAAAGCTGAGGCCAGAGGTCCTAAAATTCCTGGAGCCCTTTATTTCCCATCCTTCCTCTCTCAAACGTCCCCTTATGCCTCTGGAGATGCCCAGGTACATGCGAGGCCACCCTGAGGGCCCAGAGCCCCTCTTATGAGGAAGATAGTGCTAGGCACAGACACATTCAGCGCTAAATGGTTAGGAGTGAGAATGGGAGAGTCTAGAGGAGAGACCTATGGTCTGTCTGGGGGAATCAAGGAAGGCTTCCTGGAGGAGAAGGTCATTAGAGCTGCAAGTTGAAGCCTGAGCAAGAGCTTGCCAAGCACACTTGGGAATCCTGCACCTTGAAATAGGTGTGGATGGCAGAAGGGAGAAGCAATCCTTTTACCTCTCCCTCTCTGCCAGTCAGGGCCAGCCTGAAGGCTGCGATAGCCACAGTGGGAGTGTCAGAACCCAAATGATAGGAGTGCCATGGCTTAAAATTGAGCAACAACCATTTAACAAAAGCTTGGGCAAACAACTGCCTATCCGGACATGTCTGCTCTGCCTCTGAGAGGTGAACATTCTCTAAAAGTTCCTGGGAATGTTATTGTCACGCCTTTTCCCATGCTGTTCCCATTATCTGTATTGCCATCGTGGCTTTGGTAAACTCCTATTCATCCTTCAAATGGCCCTTCTTCTGGATTGCCCACCTGCCTAGAAACCCAGGTAGGCTCGGGGGGTTGAGGGTTTACTCATCACTCAGAGGCCCAGCCCACCTACCTGAGGCGCCCACCAGGGGCTTGATGTAGTCAGGGTGCACCAGAACCAACAGTGGCAGGACAGGTCCTATCCACACCAGGATCACATGGTGCATGCTGTCCAGCACCCTCTTCTCATCTTGGAGGCCTGTCTCATTCGGGAGATACTGCAGAGGGTGGTAGAGAAGGGTAGTGAGAAGGTGTCCAGCCCTGGCTTCCCCCACCCCTTCCCTCCCACCACTTCCCCTGCCCTCAAAACAAGCCGGGAAGAGCTGTATGATTGTGGGCAGTTGGCTGCACCTCACTGAGCCTCCATTCCCTCATCTGAAAACTGGGGGAAAAGTCAACTCCCCTTCTGAGGGTAGCTGAGAGGATTCATGGAATAGCAAAGTGGAAGAGCCCCAGCACAGGGCCTGACACACGGCTGGTGTTCAAGAAATAAAAGCAGTAAGAGTAAACACAATAATGATAACAGTTGGCACTTAATCTAGTACCTCTACGTTCGTAACAAAATATTACTAGTATTGTTCTCTTTAACACATACACGTGCTTGCAGTTGGGTGCTGCTGTGGGCATTTTTTCAACCCACACAAGAACCCTATGACGTAGTTGCTACTATTTTCCCCATTTTATTTTACTCCGAAGGGTCAAATGATTTGTCTTAAGTTACAGGTGAGTAAAGCGACTGTCCTGGTTTGGGCTTCCCTAGAAGCAGGACCTGAGACAAGGGTTCTAGGGCAAGCAGTTTATTTGGGGGGTGATCCCCAGAAACATGGGTGGGGAGAGGAGAAGTGAGATAGAGAGGAAAGGCAGCCAGCAAAGAGTTGTCAAGGGAATTACTCCCATGGGCAACTGGGGCTCAGTCCCATTGGGGATCTCTGGGGGACATCCATCTCAGAGTCAACCCACCTGAAGGTGAGGGGGCTGGGCTGTTTTTATACCAACTCCCCTAGTCCCATAATCACCGGCTGAGGTTGAAGTTCACAGTCCGCCCGTGCAGAGTGGGCTTCAGCTGCTAGAGAAAGCCCTAGAACACAGGTGCTAGCAACTAGAAGTCAGCCCACTGCAGCCAGACATGGGCCGAGAGGATGTGCACAGACACTGGCATCACCTGCCATAGTGGTAAAGCCAGGATTTGAACACAGGCCCCCAAGCTCCAAAACGCCAGCTCTTAACCAACATGTTCTATGAGGCAGAGCACTTCAGGCTCAATGTCAGATGGATCTGAGCTCAAATCCACCCTCAGCGGCTGTGTGATCTTGGGCAAGTCACCTAACATCTCTGAGCCCCAAATATCGAATCCATAATATAGGGCAGGTCCATCCCTATTTCATAGGCTATGAGAATTGGGAGAGCTCAGATATAAAGGAGCCTAACCCAGTGCCTGGCCAATGGTAGGGTCCAGCAATTGTAGAATGAATGAATGAATGAACAAATGACTCCTCTCTGGTTTCTGTGTCTCCTTCTTGATCAGGTTCAGCCCTGAGCCTGTCCACACCCAAGGGAGATCATGGCATCATCCAGGTCTCATGGCCTGGGAGGCAGGATGGGCCCACAGGGTCAAGGCTGGACTTCAGAACTGGTGCTGGCCAACCGCCCATGGCACCAGAGGCTGGCCACTATTTCCAGGACCACCATCCATGCCAGAGGGCTTCCTGGAGCAAGGGCATTGGATATGGGGCATGAAAAATGAGTAGAAGTTCATCTAACAGAGAAGGATATTCTGGGCAGAGGGCACAGTTTCAGCAAAGGCCATGGAGGTGGAAAGTCAGAGGCTTGTTCCAGGAGCAGAAAGTCATTCTATGGGACTAGAGGGAGATGGTAGAACAGGTGAGGAGGGTGGGGGTTGGAGTCTAAAGGGACTTGAACTCCAGCTGAGAAGCTGGGACTTTCTCAGGACAGCAATGGGGAGCCATGGAGGGTGTAAAGCAGGGGACGGACATGGCTGGATTCAGGAATCCTTCTGGGACCAGGATGAGGGATGGACTGGAGGGGTAAGACTAAAGGCAGGAGCCCAGGGAGGAGCCTGGACCATGGAACAGCAGGAGAGGAGGAGGCCTGAGCAGTGGTTGGAGAATGGGAAAGAGGGAGGAGATTCAGGTACAGCCAAAACTTGGTGAGTGCTGGCTGCAGGAGGATAATAAAATGTATGTTTCTTGCACTATTGAGTGGAAGTGTCTCCTGCTTCTTCTGAGACACTCACTCCAAGCAGTATCTAAAATGTGTCTAGAATCACTTGTTACTTCCAGTGTCCGCAGGACCCGAGAATTGAGCACATACATCCACCGCGGTGTAGCAGGCTCAGTGCCCAGCATGCCACAGACACGACTTCAGGAATCGTTGAAACAATCCCACGAGATTATTAGGAATGATTATAGTTCCACGTTGCAGATGAGTTATCTGAGGCACAGGGAGGTGAAATAGCTTGTCAGGGTCACACAGGCAGCACATGGCAGAAACTGGCAAGTCCACACTGGTGACCATTGCCCCAAAGTGCCTCTCCAAAGTCTTCCTCCAAGTTCAGCATGAGGAAGGTCTCCACAACTGTCCCTCGGTTTCATCTAGGCCTAGAAGGGGGATCAGCTGAGTCCAGCAGGGAAATAGGGGCTGGATTCTGGCCCCAAAAGCCTCAGCACCCTCAGGAGTCTGACTTTCTCTCTTCTGACCTCTGAAGCCCTTTTAGAAAAGTCCAGCCTTTCTCATCCAGAAGCTAGAGGGGCAAGGGTAGACAGCTAAGATCAGGGACGCTGGAACCAGACAGCCTGGGTTTAAACCCAGACGCTGCCACTTACAAGCTCTGTGACCTAAGGCCAGCTACTTAACCTCTCTGTGCCATAGTATTCTCTGGAGAAAAAATGGAGATAGTCACAGGACCTACCTTCTAAGATTGTCAAGAGGACCAAATGAGTTAATATTTATAAAGTGCCTGAAATAATACCTGGAATATATATGTGAAATAAGAAATGAAATGAAAGAAAAGGGTTGGAATCCTCACCTGGGACCACAGCATTAAAGAGAAAGAGAGAGTGTGTGAAACCACATTGTGGGGTAGGTGAAGCAACAAAATCTACAGGGGTGCCCTGCCTCCCACTCTGGGATTTCACAAGCACTGGTACCTGTTGCTACAGCAATAGCCTGGAATTGTAGAGAGAACTTTAGAGTCAGCTCTGCCTCATCCAGGCTGTGTGATCCTGGGTTCCTGCTTGCCCTCTCTGAACCTCAGTCTCACTCAGATCCTGTAAAATGGGTCTGTTCATGGATCCAACTAGATTCTTGGGGGGGTGAGGGAAGCCAGCAGGTCCATCATCCTTACTGAACATCTGTACCTTCCCTGCCCTGCCCAGCCCACCTGCCCAGCCACACACACCATGCCCAGGTGGCCCAGCAGCCAGCTGCGCCGGGGCGGCTGGGGGAAGCAGCGCAGTCGGCAGCAGGTGATATAGAAGTGCCAGCAGAGCCTCAGGAACTGCAGCAGAAGACGGAAGAGGAAGAAGAGCAGGGAGAGAAGGAGCCCAGACAGGGCATACAAACGGAACGCTGTCTTCTCCAATCCCAGGAGGTGCAGCAGGTGCTCTGTGATGGGCAGCATCCTGGGGGGACACATAGGGTGGGGGTTAGTGCAGGTGGGAACCACCCTCTGGCCACATGTGTGCCATACACATGATGACCTGTGAAGCCAAGCGTGATGGGCCTGGCACATAGTAGGCACTCAATACATGTAAGTCCCAGACACCAAGGATGCTTCTTCCCAGAGCAGTGACCTCCAGCCAGCTGGCCCCACCCATATGCCCTCAGCCTTGACTTCTCAGGGCATCCCTCCCAACTTCTCTGCCCATGCACAGGTGGCCAGAGTATTAGAAAATTGAAACAAACTCCCTCTCCTCCTTCTTGCCAAAAGTAGCTCTCAATCAATGACTGATGAGCGTTGCTGGATAAATAATCCAGCTCCTTTCCAGTGCAATGACCCTGAGGTGTGGGTTCTGTATGCACTGCTAGGGTTCCCCAGCAGGATTAAACTTCAGCTGCCCACAAGAGAAACCTTCTCTGTTAGCTGCTTCCTTTCCCCTGTCTTCCTTCTTTCTTCTTCTTCTTCTTCTTCTCCTCCCCCTCCTCCCCC